CTGCCAGTCTAACTCTGGGTCCGTTTCAAGAACACAACCTCCATTCTTTAAATCCCCAAACTTGGATTTGAATCTGGCTCTCCTTAAGATCATCTCTCACCTGCACCCTGCCCATGCCTACCCTATACCTCTGAGGCTGGCAGAGCCCGCTTTCAAACTAAGAGCCAGGAAGCAGAATGCTACCTGGGAGAAGGCACCAGGTAAGATCTCTCCTGCTGGATTTCCCCTACCAGGTAAATGAGGCGCAATCATGGCTGTGCACACTGGACACCACACCCGGATTCCTTCTTGTCAGTGAGCAGCTTTGTTACAGGGACATGTAATCTGTTGAGGGATGTAATCAGTTCAGGTCCTGTTGCCTGGGTACTACGGGGAAGGGACCTTAGAAATGCATGCAGTGGAATAACATTGGGAAGACCGCAATGACTGCTACTGGAGACTGGCCAGGGTAACACAGCTGTCACCCCTCTTCTTGTGCCATGGGATCTCCAATGACCACACATGGTTAGGACCTTACTTTGACGTGTCACCCAAAACATAAAACCCCCAGTACATTAGGCGCTATGTCAGTGTCTACTCAAAGCACCAATTACTGTCTCACCAGCACCACGTCCTGCAGCAACTTTGAATCTTTGGCGGGGTCTCTCAATCCAAGCAACCACCAGCTCTGACCCTATTTCGCTTAAGGCTGGACAAGCTCACAGCCCGAGTGAGCCTGGGGAGAAGTGGTGGTGGGGTGCTGGCATGGCTACTGGCTGCTAGTGATGCAAGTCGTATTTGAACCCAGTTCTCCAGGCAAGAGCATTAACCCACAGCACTGCCCTACCTGCTATTAACAAAAGAACAGGAAGGGGGGCATTTTTTAAAAAAAACAACAACCTGAGAGTGTAGCCAAACAAAGCCATTTCCCGTCTGCCTGAGAGGCCAGCAAACAAAGACTTCTGCATCAGATTCTTTTGGCACTATTATATGCGCTCTGCTGAATTCACAGGCACTGCGGCCTGCAAAAGGACTGAAAGCTTCTCTCAGCCACGAGCCTGCTGTTTGAACCGCACTCTGGATGAATGAGACACAGCCGGCAGCTTACTTACTTTCCTCTGCTGTGTTCACTTCTCTTCCTCTCCCGAGCTCCCTCCCACGCACATGTCTGCCAGAGCATCCCCCTCTTTGCTTGCTATGTGGGTTCGCTTTCAAAATCCAATTCAGGGGAGGGGGAGGGACAGAAGATGCTGTACCCAGACAAGCAGAGCTTTCCGCCTTCCCTGCTGACGCTTTCTGCCCTCTAAGGCTGCTGATCTTTTGAGCGACTTATGCTCCTCTTTGAAACGTCTACTGCATTGCAAGACGCCATGTTCTCTGTCTCTTGGGAGACACAGGAGAAAGAAAACAAGGCTGTGTTCTACATGGCCAAGGGCCCAACCCCCGTGGCTAAAAGCACGATATAAGCTACCCTCAAATTCAAGGTAAAGCGTACACACTGGGTTGCACATAAAAAACCTGGCTGTCCCATGCATGATCTGGAAGAACCCGAGGTGCACTAAATGCAGGGGAAACCATGTGCTTCAATGGAAATGGCTCGCTGGGAAGCAGAAAGAAAAGAGAAAAATGGAGCGTGCTCTCCGCAAAGGAGGCAGCGCGGGGCCTCAGCAGAGCGGAGCGGGTTCAGGTGGTGTTTGTATGTTCACAGTACGTGTGCCCCCAGCAGGAATGCTCATGGCTGGCAACAAATGAAGAACGTTCTGCTCCATGACTCACTCTCACTCTGCTAATCTAAACTGCGGCCTTGCTCGATGGGTGCTTGTGGTCTGAACAGCTCCCTTATCAGCCGGCGCGGAGCAGGAAGCACGGCTGGAGAGACGAGCACGTGGGTGGTTATAACAATCTGTGCCACAGTAACAACTAGCTGCGTGGCAAGATGGGATGGAGGAGGTCAGGGGAATAAATGGTGAAGCAGCTTTTGATTACAATCACCAATGACAAGAGTTTGGGGCTCTCAGACCCAGACATGTAGACTTTTTATTCCAACAATCACTCAGAGGACAGTATTAGAGTCCCAGCACTGGGCTAGACGGGAAGGGTCAAAGAGGTTTCAGAGCAGAAACGCAGTGCATTGGCACAAAGCTGGGTATTGCACAGCGCATTGGCACAAAACTGGGTATTGTACAGCGTAGACCCACAATATGCCTGGCTCTACCAACGGAAAAAATCAGCCTCTCCCCACCCCCAGCTAACGTGCTATACTGACCAAAACAATGGTGAAGGTGTATCAGAGAGGCTGCTGATGGAAGGGAGAGATGCAGCTGAAGTTTACCTGTGCTTATTTCTAGCCCTTCCATTTTCTGCAATATTACAGCAATGGTATGCGTCTCCCACACGTTCCAACATGGCAGACCGAAGCCACACAGAGCCTGGTGGAACACATTTCCCGTTCAGCTCCCAGTAACACTGTCAGGTTCCCTTTGGGGGTGGCTTTGAAGGACCATATGCTGGAATAGAACGCTCCAGGCAACTAGGAGATGAGCTAAGTCCTAGATATAGTCACACTGGGCTCTCAGGCAACCACTGAACCCAGGGTCCAGAAGGGGCATTGCTATTAAATACATATATTTCAGAAGCACCTCTAGGGCTGAATTTGGATCAGGGCATTGTACAAACACAAGAGGCTTACAATCCAAGTAAAGAAACAAAATCAGCATCACTGGAGGGACTGAATCCACCAACCTTTCAGTTAACAGCTGCATGCACTTGCTCACTGTCCCACAGAGATGTTTGGTCAAGAACATTCCTTTTAAGTAGATGCCCTCACAGTGGACTCCAGGTTCAAGCCCTGAGTCCAGTCCATTAGGTCTGGCCTCTTATGTATTTCCCTGAAAACAGGGCTAAGCACAAAGTAACTGAATGCCAACTAGAAGTAACAATTAGTGAGGGGCAGTTGCCAGTGCGCATGTAGGGAGGGTAGGGGTTGAAGTCCAATCGGTCTGTTTCCCTATCTCCCAGCACTCTCAAACCAAGAACAATTCAAAGCGAGAGACTGCTCTTATTTTCAGTTCCAAACAGATGTGGCTTACTGAACTGTCTCTTGGTCCACAGCTAAGATCCTGGGGACATGGTGCCAGTTTGGCTTCCAACTTCTATCCAGAGCAGATAATACAAATGCTAGGACATTAAGATCCCAAGGACTCAGGGAAAACAAAACCAGACAGAGAACAAGCGCAGAGAAATCAGTGCACCTGTTTGAGCCCAGTGTGACCTGTTGGCAGAGCTGGCTGATGGGGAGGTTGACAAAGCAGGGGGAGCAGTCTGCATTTTTATTAGATCTGCAGTCACCAGGGAAAGTCAAGATCCGTTTTTTAAATGACTCCTCGAGGTGGCACAGGGGCTCTGGAGACTATGAAAACAGAGGGGGAGGCAATTCTAAGTATATTAGGGACAAATAAATCACCTTCCTTGCAGCTCCCTTCTCCTCTAGGGTCACCTTGAGGAAACCTCTTTCCCCACCTTACATCTCCAACTCCACGTGCCGTGTCTGGAGCTATTTACGTGCACAATTCCTCCCCCTCGGTGCACTGACGCCCCCTGATGGTTCAATTTTATTGGCAGACATTTGCACATGCCAGGCCTCCCTTGTGGTATCTAGGTCACACCAGTGGCTCGCCTATTATTTCCAGTGTTCACTTGCTTTTCTGCCTTTCACCAACAGCTGACTGTCACCCCTTCACGTTCAACAGCTGGTCTATCTGGTGGGATCCAGCCACACCCCTTTCACTGGAGACTGTCTTCCTAACCTGAATGTCTGTCAAGAACCACTGCCCATGCAGTCCTCTATTCCAGGGTGGGGGAGACGTGAGGTTTGCTTCTCATCGCCATGTACGTAAACTGATGCTTTCAATGCTTCCCTGGAATTACCTATCTCAACCCTTTTTTCTGGAGGAAGCTGGCGTGTGTATGATGGGGGCAGATTGCGTTGAAAGGCTGAAGGAGGAGCATTGATCTCCACTATAGTCCTTGAACCCAGGGGAGAACTTCTTACACAAATATTTGCCAATCAACGCATTGGCCCTTGTCAATGGCTGTCAATAGAAGTCTGCAGTAGGGTTATCCATGGAAATGTCGGCTTCTGGAATCTGATCCAAACAACACTGTTCAACTCTCAACTTCTTATCTGTTCCATTTTTACCTGGACTTCATTCTCCTCCTTCTGGAGGCCTGTATTTCTTGTAAATTAGCCATTCCAGGCACTAAACATGCTACCTTAACACACAGCATATGGGGATGTAGCATTTCAGTGTGCCAAAGCACATAATATCATGCTCTAATGTAGAACTCTTCATCAGTAGATCTCAACGTGCTTTACAAAGGTGGTCAGTAGCACTACCCCCATTTTACAGATGGGGAAACTGAGGCTCGTCAGACCGCTGGCTGGGCCAGGAATAGAACACAGTGTCTCCTAAGTTCCAGCCCAATGCTCTACTCACTAGGCCATACTGCACAGTTCCACTGCCTTATTATTCAGAGCCATGGGTATCAAAACAGCTTCCTGACCATTACCATCTCACCTCCTATTTGGGATGCCTGAATATTTGGAATTACCCACAGCACTGCCAGACTAGTGAACCCATATGGACTGCAGAAAATCATTTCATGGATTGACTGCTCCAGCGAGCGCATAAAGGGTCAACATACAGATGCATACAGGCAGGCATGAGCAAAGGAGTAGTCAGGATGTTTCATGACCCCTTTCCTTGGCACAACCTTCATTACCAGGGTATGGCTTCCCGCCAGTGCTCCTCGGTGCGGTTTACTCTAAAAGCACAGGAGACATCCTTGGTTTCCACATCCACCATGCAATACACCTTGCAGTTATGTTCTCGGGTTCCACCATCCATTTGCCAACCCATGAGAACAGACAGCTCCTGGGAAAGAACTGGTCTGACCCATGCCAGACAGGGACTCACTTATCTCAGATGTATTCACCATCTGGTTGGATGCTACTACATTACCGTGAAAATGCTCGGCTGTTTTCCGTCTCAGGGCCTCCACTGTTTCCTCCGTGTCAGCCCACTCCAAGACCAGCCTCCTGCCATACAAGTGTGTGCTGTGGCACAGGGCGCTGAAGGCTTTCTGAAGGTTTAAAGGGGGGTGGGGAAAAAGAAATCACATGTAAGGAAACAAACTTAATATCTGTACGGGTTAAGTAATAGACATTGCCCTCCCTCTACCTCAAAAAAACCCAAAACCAAATCTATACGGACTCCTGGAACCCCAAGGCATCCAATTGTGGGGGGAGGGGGCATTACATAGGAATGGACATCCTGGGTCAGACCAAAGGTCCATCTAGGCCAGTATCCTGTCTTCCAACAATGGCCATTGCCAGGTGCTTCAGAGGGAGTGAACAGAACAGGTAATCATCAAGTGATCCATCTCCTGTTGTCCATTCCCACCTCTTGATCCAGACAGGGTGCTGATGTTCCTAAACACCTGCATTATGGAGTCTTCCCCTTGAAATCCAGCTACTCAAGGGGTACATCTACACTGGAATAAAAGACCTGCGGCACAGCCACAACTGGCCTGGGTCAGCTGACTCGGGTTAACCGGGCTCAGGCTGCGGGGCTAAAAATTGCAGTGTGGACATTTGGGCTCGGGCTGCAGCCTGACCTTTGCAGGGTCCTCAACCTCAGGCTCCAGGACAAGTGTGAACATCTACACAGCAATTTTACAGCCCCTCAGCCAGAGCCCCACAAGCCTGAGCCAGCTGACCGGGTCAGCCAAAGGTGTTTAATTGCTGTGTACACATACCCTAGAAGACAGCTCTCTCTGGGGAAGAGCAGTCTTCTGCAGCACGGTATCTTACAAATGCATTTGGTAGGGGCGATGGGAGGAGACATAAAACCAGGTGCAGCTGAGAAACACTGGCACAGGTTGGATGTGCCATTCCGCACTGCCTCCAGGCATACGTTTAGTGCAACACAACAGCTGTACAACCTGGAGTGTGGTCTTCTGCTTAGAATGGGAGCAGTCATCTAAGTCTCTCACACCAGGAAAGGTCAGACTAGATAACCACAGTGGTCCGTTCTGGCCGTGGAATCTGACAACACCGCAGACCATGTCACTCTCCTGTACGTCACAGTGAGAGTGTGAAACACAAGCATGATTCCAGAGCTCAGCTTTATGATTAAGTAGGTCCGCTGAGGCAATGCATTTTGAGAACTCCAGCTACTGGGGGTAAGAAGTTTTCCCTTCCATTAAATTCTGGTGATAGCATAAGTCACGGGAGCAAATCCGGATGCATCAGAACCCCAAAATGGAATTGCCTCCTATTTCATTGTTGTGGTTTTGTTTCTCATATAGTAAAATGGTTCGAATGTTTCCCTATTTGCTATTGCTAAAGAACGTGAGGAAGGCCATGACCTCACACTGACACTGAAGGCACAAGTGCTGGCAGTACCATTAACACAACAGACTTTCTAGATCCTCAGCTGATCAATGGGAATGCTCAGGAAACACTGGCTTTTTCCTTGGAGCTGTGCTCGGGACATTGCAGGAGTGCGCCCCGTTATGCAAACACACAGTCAGCATTTCTATAGCTCCATTCATTCCAAGGGACTGCAAAGTGCTTCAGAACAAGCCCAGACACATTTAGGAAGACTAAAATGTTCTCATAAATGTGTCAGATAAGACTGAAATAAAACATGTTTATAAGGTTTGTAAACTGACTTCTATGGGACACCTACAGTGACTTAAATGTATGTAGAGTGAGAAATGAATCAATTCACCAGGAAGTGAAATTGCAGCCATGTCTGGGGTGGAACACAAGAGCTTTTTAACAGCATACAGTAACACTACACAACTACTCAGGACAGGATTTGAACAGCATATGCAATTAAAACAGGGACAATTTAGACAGACAGTATTGTAGGTAGTTACTCAGACTGGCACTGGGTCAGGATACCAGAATTAACCTAGTCTGACTCCTGTCTCCTACAGTGACCAGTCTTAGAAACTTTAGAAGAAGTTGCAAGAATCTTCATAATGTCTCACGTTTGAACCCAAGCCCCTTTCCACCCTCTCATAAATCAGCCTGACTCGGCTCAGCAAACACTCAGGAACCAGATCTTAAGACCCTGCTGAGGGATGGGTCACAGCCTGAGTCTCACTAGGACTCAGGTCCAAGTCCTGTCATTTTGCAGTAGAGATAAAAGGTCTGCATAGTGCAGTGTGAATGTGTGAGCATGGCTGCGGGACCTGGGTCCAGCAATCGTAAATCCAGGTTTATCATGTAGCTTGGACGTTCAAGCGCAGGTATGGAAATACCGATTCCGCAAGTCCGGGTCCCGCAGATGCGGGTTTACAATGCAGTGTAGACATACCCTTAGGGACTAACCTGCCAAACGGGGGAGGAAAGGGGGAGTATTATTTTTCTTACCGGCCCTACTCTGTTGATGGCTGGTTCCTACTTTGAAGCAGGCAATTTTATAACCAGCATATATGTTTATCCAGACATAACCATGCATGTTCTTATCCATATAAATGTCTAATCCTTTTATGTGACTCCTACAAAGCTCCTGAAGCAATGAATTCCACGGGTTAATTATCTGTTGCATAAAAAAAAATTGCCATTTCAATATATTGCCTGTTTCAGTGAATGTCTCCCCCATTTTAACATTAAAAAAAAAAGTGTGAACAGGAGCTCCTGATTTGCCTGCCCTCCCCCATTCATTATTTTATTGACCTCTCATCTCTCTCTTCTTCTTCTCCTCTCTAAACTATATGATCCTAAACTGGAAAAGGACGGATACATTAATTTTCGGTTGGGTGTATTTTCTCCTCCCAGTACTTTTGCAGCTACAGCTGTTTTTATTTGCCGCCGCTGTTGTTTTAAAGGCCTATTTTCACATGGAATGTTAGCCAATTAGCAGAGCAATGTGTTGGCTTAAACAAATAGTCGAGGGGTAGGAGGAGGCCTCGGGAGCAGAGAATTGTGATGGCTGTTTACTTTGGCACAAAGAGCAATTCCACCCCTGGCAAACAACTGCAGCTCTAATCACTAGGCCTCATTTGTTAATTTATACTTTTTAATTTCTCACTTCCCACAACCCGAAGAAGAGAAAGGCTGTATTGAGAACAGTCAGGAATGAGCACGTATTGCCAGGGCAGCCATATTTTGCCCTACTGGGGGGTCCAGCTGGTAACCTGCCAGGCAACTGGGCACCTCATCTATATCAAATGAAGCTGCTGCAGCCACCTGTATTGTTAACGCAGGGTGCTGCCCGTGGAGACCACAGGTCCCAGCATGCTGGGATGTTCCATCCAGTCTGCTTGAATATGTTAACCCAATTAGTGTTCTTTATTTCTGTGCTCAAATATATTGACTTAATTTGTATTGCCAGTTTACAGGTTTGTTAATAAATCTGAGCATTATTGATTCTTTGGAAAAAAACAAAAAACATTGCATGCTGGGAACTATAGTGTCTGTGGGACCACCTTCAAGATGACCTCCAAAAGAAGGTGCAGGGGAAAGGAAGATATGTTTGTGCCATTTTTTTATTTCTTTAGGAGATATGAAGAAGGCCTACAAGGATTTTTTTCTTCTTTATTTTTAATCCTCCCCCTTCCTTTTTTTTTAAACATTAGAAATTCAGGTCATGTCTGCATTGGAAGAATCTATGGACAACCAGTGAACAAGAAAGATATTGCGAAGTCACCAGAGAAACTTTACGTGTTATAGACGGACAGTGATTTTTTTCTATTCAAACTGTTTACATCTCAAGGGCTGAGAAGGCTCCTCCCAAGCCCTCACCTCTGGAATTTCTCCAAAAGAAAACAGGCAAGATGAGACTTGACATTCATGTTATCATTAATATAATATAATGAGAAAAAAATTCTGATGTTCTTTATACATCATAAAGGAAATGAGCAGAAACCTAACTCTCTCTCTCTCCGTTTCAGGTCACCTTTTAAGAGGAGGTTGGGTGAATTCAATCCTCAGGATCACACTTTATCCCCATCCGACCTACTGGCTGATAACCAGAGCTGTAGCCAGCTGTTCATCCAAGACTGACACTCATTGGAAGAGACTTCTAACCCTCCACTTACGAGTATCTCTTTACATCGATGTAAAGGAGGGTGGTGAAACACTGGAATGTGTTACCTAGGGACGTGGTGGAATCTCCTTCCTTTGACCTTTTTAAGGTCAGGCTTGACAAAGCCCTGGCTGGGATGATTTAGTTGAGGATTGGTCCTGCTTTGAGCAGGGGGTTGGACTAGATGACCTCCTGAGGTCCCTTCCAACCCTGATATTCTATGATTCTATGATTTAAAAGCTCTAGGTGCCCTTGATTGTTGAAAAATGCAAATCAAAAAGGAACTCCACCACAACCAAGCAGCAGCAACCTCTGCTAGTACAACCCAAGCTAGGTAAATGAAAATACAAAGCATCCTTCCCCCTCCAACTCTCCACCACCCTTACGATTCTCCCCGGCTTTCAAAATGCCTCAGGGCTTGAATGAAAACTACAGGCCTAGTGTTTAAGGAAAAAAGGACATGCTCATGTTTAAAACCTTGCTTCTGAACCCTTGTGGATCTGATTTTACATTGTTTGGTTTAGCCTAATGTAACAGCTCGCTATGGCAGGAATTCTTTGCTAGCTAAGTGCCACTTACAGAGTCCTAAAATTACAATATGGCTTTGGGAGAGTCAGCCAGCTGAGTTAGAGTTGGCTGCTCCATGTGCTGTGAATAGACTAAATCAGCCTAATGCAGTTTTCATTTGCAAATTTAAACAAACTGCACCCCAAAATGCTTTGTAAAGTTCAGTAATAAATTAAATGTTGCTTATTTATAATCCACTTCCAGGGTGCTGATTAAAAGGCATCTAGAGCCCATGCAGATGTGAACCAACAGCATACAAAACATTTCCAAAAAAGTCTAAAGAAAACCAGCTAGCTACATCCAGAACATAGCCAGGAAGCATCACACACATGCCCAAAATGTGTTTTCTGATGAGCTATTGAACTGTGGTGCTGCTGGAAGTACTGGTAGCCAGGTCCTGGAAAGGGTTAGAGAGGAGGTAGGTGTTGGGTAAGCCAAAATGAACAGGGAAAGAGAGAGAGGAAGAGGTGGCCAAGAAGGTGGGGTGGAACAAGCTGATGGAAGGTGTTTTGAAAGCCAGAAGGGCAATTCTGCGATGGATTCCAAAGCCAAGGGGCAGCTAGTCAAGCTGTTTGGGGACTGGGCTGTGCAGATGGAAGAGACAGTCTGCTTGTAATGGTGTCTGATGGCCTGGGGATTTGGAAAGTCATAGATCAAGAGACTGGACCGCTCAGTTAATCTCCCTTGGGTGCTATTCCTCACCATCTCTAAACACTGTTTTAATTTTGGGGACACTGCTTCTTTGCCTCTTCATTCCCCATTGCCCTATTAAACACTCAAGCGTAAGAGCCTTAGGGCCAGAATCATTAGAGGGACAAAGGGTTGATAACATTAGACTGCTGATAAATTTTCTTTCCTTCCTAAAAAGGAAACAGTCCCAGTTGAGGACATTCCCTACAATGCCAGCTGAGCTCAAGTTTGTTTTGAAGGGTTGAACATCTTTCCTGAATGGGCAATTTCTATTTGGAGACCAGATGTATTTTTATATCAGCAGGGGGGAAGGAAAGCAGAAACTCTGCCTGCAGTATTAGCTAAAAACAACCCAACTCTCTGCAGTAAGTACTCCAGGAAACATACAAATAAGCCAGTGCTGCTTTAATCAGAATCAATGTGCTTAGCAACACTGATCTGTGCAAAACAAATTCCTCCGTGCAGCCACAAAACCAGATACCTTTAAACTTGACATCCATTTTTCAGAAGAGATGTAAACCAATGACCTGGCCTGCGGTTGTTAAAAATCCCAGGGTGCTTTTTAACCAGAGTTAGGATGTTAAAAACGGCTGCCCTGGCTACATTCCAATTCTGATCATTCCTCACTTTCAGTTATTAGAGGTGATAGCCTTCAGTTCCTGTTCTAACGTGTCTAGGGCTGCTGTGTTCTGCCATACACCAGAGGTGGTTGCATTTCAATAGTGGATTGTTAATCTTACTATAGGAGCATCTTGAGGTTATCATGGACCCATTGGACCAGGAGCCGTATTAACAAAGTGAGAGAGAGTCCCTGCTTTGAAGACTTTACAATTTAAAAGTCAGATGGGAGGTTCAGCTTCAGTAACTCAATTAGAATAGCACCTTACAACAAGAGCTGGCTATCACAGACTACTTGTGGAATAACAAACATCCTACTCATCATGAGCAAGGGGATCAGAATCTGGTTCTAAAAGACCCATTTGAAACACAATGGATTCTGAGAGAGAGTTAGGTGCCCAGTTCCTTTAGGCTGTTATGAAAATTCCAGTTCACTCACTCAGAGTCATTGTAATTGCCTTGCGAAACAGGTGGACAAGGCAGTTCACAGGAACTAAGAGCACTTTTATCACACAACAAACATTTTAAGTTTGCAATAGGTTCTTCTTTCACAGTCCGCAACAGTTCAGCTCAGAGGTCTCTCAGCCTGCCTCCCCCCTCTCTCGTTCACATAGCATTGAACCATGAGCCAGTTATGCAAGGGTTTACAAAATTCAGAATCCTACTCATGGATACGTGGTTCATTCTTTTCTTGACGGCCAACAGAATGAACCTGCTGTGCACTTTCTTAACACAATTAAATCCCCCAAAGAAACAGAAAAGAAAGCTACTTTCCTCAAAAGGAAGAAAAGCACAAAGCTCTCTCTCGATGCAGGGCAATGCCCCAGCACAACAGGATCTGTGCCCTTGAGAGTTACTGCTAGGTCGGTGTCTAGGGACGAAATGAAATCACACACTGGACTACAGATCTGAGGGATGTTGCCCAGGTGAAACCTGTAACAGGGAAGTCTGCCCCTTTAGGGGCAGGGGGTCTGGGGACAGCCAGCCCTGTTTTGAGCCAGGGCCTCTTTAAGAGCAGATGCTCGGGCCTGGGAGAGGAAGTAGGGTGGTTCTGGTGGCAGGCCGTGGAAAAGAGGGACTCCCAAGCGGACAGTCTGTGGGAAGTCTGGGGATGAACTGCCAGGGACAGGGAGTTGGATTTACATTGAACTGTTTTCATGTTAAGTATCATAGGGGTAGCCGTGTTAGTCTGGATCTGTAAAAGCGGCAAGGAGTCTGGTGGCACCTTATAGACTAACAGACGTATTGGAGCATAAGCTTTCGTGGGTGAATACCCGCTTCGTCGGATGCATGTAGTGAAAATTTCCAGAGGCAGGTATAAATATGCAAGCAACAATCAGGGTAGGGATAACAAGGTTAGTTCAATCAGGAAGGATGAGGCCCTCTTCTAGCAGTTGAGGTGTGAACACCAAGGGAGGAGAAACTGCTTTTGTAGTTGACGAGTCATTCACAGTCTTTGTTTAATCCTAAAATGATGGTGTCAAATTTGCAAATGAACTGAAGCTCAGCAGTTTCTCTTTGAAGTCTGGTCCTGAAGTTTTTTTGCTGCAGGATGGCTACCTTTAAATCTGCTATTATGTGTCCAGGGAGGTTGAAGTGTTCTCCTACAGGTTTTTGTATATTGCCATTCCTAATATCTCATTTGTGTCCATGTTTTCATGGTGGGGCTTACTAAAGATTGTAGTGCAGCCAGTAAATGGTGCCAGGGCGAAAGGGCCTGAACAGACTCTGGGAGTGGCATTTACTCTTTCCTGGGCCATGGAGACAAGCTGACAGCTTAGGAAGCCTCTCTGATGCATCTGTCCCCCTTACAGGCACAGGTGGCAGGAAGAGGAGCAGCATAGCATGAAAAGCCAAAACCTTCATTTTGAGGCTTGCTGCTTTTTTTTCCTGCCACGAGTCCCAACCCCTGTGCCTCAGGGTATGGGATACAGCAACTCATTCGAGACAAGGTATAAACACATACAACAGCCAGTAGAGGGTGCTGAGGTGGACAGGCTCAGCACATCAATCTCCAGCCCCAATCAGGACCCCTTTGGTTGGAGCCAGGCTGACATCTGCCATCTACCTGACAATTGGGATCCAGGAACTCCTTGGATTATTCTTATATGTATAAGAATAGTATCTGCTGAGATTGGGGCTCCATTATGCTAGCCACTGTACATACACATAGCGGGAAACAATCCCTGACCTAAAGAACTTAAATTAAATAGACCAGACAGACAAAGGGTAGGACTAGGGAACTATCTTTAGACCCATTTTACGAATGGGAAACGGAGGCTCAAAGATGGGAATAACTTGTCCAGCCAGAGTCAACCAGTGACAAAACCAGGACTTGGCCGAGGAATCTTCCTAACTTCCAAACCTGGGTTCGTTCCTCCTGTGATGCTATTCAACGGCGAGCCACACAATACCATTTGGTGGACTTTTACACGACAGCTGAGCTGTCATGACAGCTTCTCTGGCCAGTCAAAAACTCTACTAGATTCATAGATTCCAAGGCCAAAAGGAATTGAGATCATCCAATCGGATCCCCCTGTATCTGAAGGCCTCAGACGGTAACTCCATAGTTTAGGCCTTGCCTACATTGGGAATTAGCAAACATTCCAACCATTGCTGGCCAAGCACCGAGGAAGATGCACCACTGCAAAATCCAAGTGCAGACAAGGAAAGCCACAATAAAGTAAGCTACTGATTGCTGAAATCTGGCCTGAATCCTACCCTAGACAAGGCCATTGTTCTTTAAGTGAAAGGCCAGAAAGCAGACATAATTTGAGGGCTGGAAGGAGGAGGGATAGGGAGAGAGGACTGTGCCACTAAGCTCACCTTGGCATCCTGTTTGGTGAGGAAATCCACAAATCCAAAGCCACGGTGAGATCCTGTCCCGGCCATTTTCTTTGGCAGGCGGACGGTCTTCAGCTCTCCAAAGGTGCTGTGAATAAGAGACAGGGAAACAATACTTAGATAAAAACCCACCTCATTTATGAGCCAAGGCAGTGCCATTACAGAGATGTCCCCTTTCATGTAAGCCTTGCAGGCATTACAGCTACAAAATGATCACTGCAGGCAAATGCTGTACCATTTCTCTAGGCCACATTTAGTGACAGATCTTGGCTACTAAAGGTCTTCCAATTGGATACTCCCCAACACAGCAGAAGACATCTTTGCAGTATTTGGCATGTTTCTTCTCTCCTGGGAAGAAAGTGAGGATTTGTGCTGTACCGCTGTACACAGTGTTGAACACACAAGTACATCTCCTCCTCGTTAACAGTTTAATATTAGGCAGCAGCACACTCGGCCTCAATTTATGGTGAACTCCCCATTCCTTTCAGGCGGTATTTAAAATAAGCCGCTGTACACAGGGCACTGATGTGAACCAGGAAAGGACAGGAGCCCATGGGGATAGAAAGCCATGCCAGGCAGGCTCACAGTGCTAGCATGGTCTTTCCAGGAACAGCTCCCCTATCTCCCACAGGTTCCACTCCTCACTCCCTGCGGACGTGAGTATCCTCTGAGCAGCGTCATAACTTGTAAAGCATTAAAGAATCAGGCAGCTGACTCTAGTTACCTCCCAATCCTGTCCGATGGGCTTCTCTTTTCAAGCTATTCTCTTACTTCAGACCCCTTGATGGGCTGGGTTAGAGGGAAACGTAGCTTGTGAGAGCTGAAGGCTGATTCTGAATACTTTACCTTCTCCCCACCCCTCCCCGGAGAGAGAGAGACACTGCCATTTTAGAAATTCCACAAGAGGCCACCTTTCTCTGCAGCTGAGCTCTAGCTCCCTCTCTTTTCTTTTTAATGTCCAGTTATCATACACATATGCACAAACTGCAGACAATAAATATTTAATGTGGACTGGGTCTGAATAGATGTGTTATTTTATTTGAAAATCTACACACACACAAAGAGGTTGGAGATACAACAATGCCAAAGAGCGACCGGGACTAAACACAGTAAAGGCCGTAAATGCTCTCGTGAAATGATATAAGCTAAATCCAGAGAGTTAACCCGCTGCACTGGCAGCATGACCAGGCATTCATCTATCCAATTTCCTCAGGCAGTGCGGTGTGTAAATGTAGCATTATGAATCCTCAAAATGAATCTGCACGTCTGCTCCTCGTAGCTCTTCCCCCCCCCCCCCGCAACCCCCCCTTTGAGATGGTGCTAAGGAAACAAATAAACAGAATAAAACAGAAGAGACGCAACAGCCTTGGAGAGCAGGAGTGCTCAAGTCTAAACGCGGCAGAAACATTACATTGTTTTTGGTGATGAACCAGTCTCCCACAAGGTGGCTGTTGGGGAATTGAGACTACAAGAACTCCATGTACTTCTCCATTATTATTTGTATTAGAGTGGTGGCTGGGTGAGCCAAACAAGATTGGGGCCCTGCTGGTCTATGCACACCTAGTAAGAGATAGCCCCTGCCCCAAAGAGATTACAGTCTGAAGGGACAAGACAAAGGGTGGGAGGGGAAAAAGAAGCAGACAGACAGAGGGGAAGTGACATGCCTAAGCCACACCAGGTCAGTGATCACATTAAAATGCAGGTCTCCTGGCTCCCAGACCAGTGCCCAAATGACTAGACAACATCAGGTCACGCTTCCAACAGGGGAATGTTGCAGGGTGGATACAAATCAATGATTTAAAAAAAAAAAAATTAAAAGAATCGGATTTTTTTATTTAAATCAGATTTTTTTTTGATAAAATGCTTTTTGAGGAAGAAACTTATCTAAAGACAGTTTTAACTGAGATACATTATAGCTCAAAGATATCTCATCATGGAATAGGGATATAAATTCTAATTCTATAGTATGAGACAATATATTCATGTAATGTTTAAGAAAAGTTTCGTAAACGAGTTCTAATACTTCATGGATTAGGGACCCAATCTTATGGGGTTCCACAGGCTTCTGTACAGGTTATTTAGGTCAATCTTTCTATCTACCCAATGGGACTCAGTGCTCAGCCTAGAAGACACCATCAGAGATGCTTAGTTTTGCAGCTCTCAAACTGTGGATTTGAATTTCTGTCTCCAGCGGTAACATGCTTGTTAACAGCAAAAAATGTTTTTAAAATAAATAAATAAATATATAGAGGTAAGAAATAACAGACCTCAACTCTACTGTCCCTCTGCAAATTTGTGTACACAGAGTCAATCCCTTACCTCTCTTTAAAGTAAAAAGTTTCAAAAAATTCAATGAATAGAAGATTGTTGGGGGCTGAATAGATCTGGACAAGGAGAAGAAGTCTGGAGATAAATGTGAGAAGCGAGGGCATATGTTTTTTGTTAAAATATTTATGTTTGCTGCTGAAGAAAAAAATCCAGAATACTTAATGCTGTTTTAGTTAAATAAAACAATTTAAATGCCTGTCTGGTGATGTTCTCCTCCTAATACAGCCTGGCAAGAAAATCCTCCAAATATTAATGATTAACCTGTTGAATTGGAGATAGTTCACCTCCCAATTTACCTTTGGTAAATGAAATAACCGAACAATCATTCATTTTCTGATACAGCTGTAAAACTAACCTGAAAAGTTTTCAAAATAAATCACTTAAAAATGCATAGTGTGTACCTTCTAAAAATGAAACATACGTCTCTCTCTGAGTTGCGAAGAATATGTATTAAGGTTATAACAACCAACAAGAATGCACTTTTATGTAGAAAACCATGATTAAATCGAGTCTTCCTAACTAGTGATTTAAATCAATTTGATTTAAATCAAATCCACCCTGGAATGTTGATTCTTTTGCGGCACTACCTGGTGGGGAGTGCATGAAGAAGGGCCTTTGACAGGGGACATGCACACAAAAGAATATGAATTATACCTTGACCTTATATGATATGCCTCCCACAGGAAGAAATCTCTCAAAGCTACATACAACCATGATGTGAAATCTCACTACCCTGATGTGAGATAGGTGGGCATCACCCCGTTTTAACAAACTGAGGCACAAAGGCCCAGATTTTTAAATGTATTTCGGTACACTGCCATTGATTTTCAATGAGAGTGAGACTCCTAAGTCAGGTGTTAGAATGATGATCAGAAGAACACTTACATATCTGTGAAAATTGGGTCAAAAAGCTTAAGTGACTTGACCCAGGTCACAGACGCAGGCTGTGACAGAGTTGGGAAAAGAACCCTGTTCTTCCGCCTCCCAGGCCTGTGCCTTGCCCATCAGAAGCCCAGGTAAGAGGTCAGTGAGGAAAACATGCTGAACTCTGCCCATAGCTCTCGTGCGTTATAACCACCACATTATTATAATAATTAGTACTGACTCCTGGGGATTGTTTGTTTGGGGAGATGACCTGAAAAAACATTGACATTCAGACTCACCCGAAGAGCAGGAAATCAACAAGAGCGTAAGGTGGGCATACCCACAACCTGGGCGGCGGGACAGATTTAACACACCTGTAGAGACTCCACAAGAGCAAGCAACACCATCATGGGAGCGGAGCATGTTTGAGTCCCTTGGGCCTAGGGGAGAGGGTTGGATGGGATAGACACCAGCTCCACCAGACTTGAGCTACTTACTTGACAGTGGTATCCATGGAGCAGCCGCTGAGGGGCTCAGAAGGGAACACCCAGAGACCGTGGCCTGGGCAGAAGGGGATACACTAGGACTCCCAACAGAAGCACAGATGACCCCGCTAGGGATAGGCAGAAAAGCCACCCCACTGTGTTGATAATTAGAAACCATAACACAGCAATTACCATACGAGCAGCTGTGAATGAAGTGGAGAGATTGGGCCTTTAATGTTCCCCTTGCCACCTCGGTGAGAAACTCACACCTCACGTAACCAATTATTCCTTCATCTAGCTATTTTTTAAAGGGAGGGGGGGAAGGGTACAATTACCCTCTCCTGAATGGGATATCCCTTATCCCGGGAAGATAGTTTATGCTTTGAACAAAGGGAGGCGTTCTCACATTTCTAATTTGTTTTAAGGGGTGTCCTATGCATGCATACGTACAAAGAGGGAGGTGTGCTTTATGGCAGCTCAGATCAATGACATCTCCCTCCCTTCCCTATAACCAACTTTGATGCACACAAATCCCACTTGCCCATAGGTGTAAGTGTGACAATGGGAGGGGTGGGGATGGTTCCCTGATCTGTGTGTCGCAAATTGGACTCATCAGAGAGGGTTGCCGAGGAACCTGGCTGTCGGAGCTACTAACACAAAGCGACGCACTGTGCGGCCCACACCCTCTCCACGTATGAAGGGAAAAACCGTGAGACTCAGAAGTGGCAACTGACCCTTTATTCATGGGACACCCATGACCAGGACCAGAGCTCAAACTCTCTGAAGTAACTAGTAACTGAGGTGAGATGTTGGGAAGGGAATTTGAAATCCCTCATTTGTACTGTGCTACTTACTGCCAATGGAGGAGAGTTTAAAAAAAAAAAAAAAAAAGCAGTGATTATGGTATTAAAATTCAGTGAGAGCCAAGGCAGAAGGATCCTCACATACTGAATACCAACATTCCTTCCCTAGTGTGTCTGCCAGGGTTCATACACTGCCTCAGAGTGCGACAGGACTCACAGGGCCATGGGTGCATCACCCTCTCACTCCGTAAAAGATGAGGTGGTGACTTTGCTTCATACCAATCAACATTCATGCAAAGACAACAGCATGTTGGCCCTACTGGGGTGAATCATCTATATGGATTCAGGAAAAGAGGGTCACATACTTCTCCTCAATTGTGCACAAGCCCCGATCTGCACCTCTACAACCCACAAATTGCAGGAACTCAATAGAGAGGCGAGACCTGGAGGATTCACCGAGGCAAGCCAAAAGTCACAGGTGGCAAATGAGCAAGATGAGCAGACTTCCTGTGCAAGACCTCAGCCAGTGGGGCACATCAGTGCTCCCACTGAAACATACACAGCAGCACAAGGGTTTGCAGATTGTCTGCATGGCGTTCCTGGAAGTCAGTAACATTCCCACCACACTGCTAACTCTTCCAGCAATTGAGTGGATTTCCTCTTAACCAGCTGGGCGAACAGAGAGAGAAGCAGACGGAAGCTGCTAGACTCGTCTTCAGCTGGGAGCAGGCGAGTTGGAAGAACGAGCCCATGGCCTGCTGACCGTGAGGATGGTATGTTGCTATCAAATGGACTGAGATCCTTGGTTTAGTTTGGTGGATAACAAAAAAGCCTATTTGGCACCTCTCAGCACAGGAAGGTCCCAGATATCTGGTGTTGGCACTTGTGCTCCTTTAATGGTGAATATGAAGGAGAATACAAATGAACATGGCCACACATGCGCCTCCTCAACACACACATTCCCCTGTGGTGCCTGCTGCTGTTGCCAATAAGCACCATCCTCCCTGTCACTGAGGCCTGTAACCTAGGGACCATCACTGACCCCTCCCCTTTCTTTTGCCTTACACAACCAGGCCATGTCTAAATCCTTCCTCCATAACATCTCAAGGTCCATCATCATCTTGCTGTCCACGCCCACAAAAGTCCTTTCCAGGCCCTCATCTCAATTACTGTACCCTCCTCCTCGCCGACACCCCTTGCCCCTCCCTCTCCCCCCTACCCCCATTCATACTCTTCACTCCGGCTCCATCACTCCATACCTGGATACCTCCACTGTGCCCTCGCTTTCCACCATGTTTAGTTCAAGCTTTTTGTCCTCACCATCAAACCCCTTTATAGTCCTCCTGCATTTATTTACCTGTTCTTTTCTATTATTGTGTTGCCCCTGTGACCTGCAGTCACTGCTGAACCAGCCTCAGCCTCGATGACCTGTCTGTCCATGTTTCCCACAACTATCTCTGTGCTTTCTTCCACAGCAGCCCCTAGGCCCCTACCCTTTCCTCTTTCAAATTTCCTTCAAGACCTACCTCTGCTGTGATGCCTACAAGAAAATCAGCCAAGAAATGCTGGCTCAGCAAAGCATGTTCTAACCCCAACTGCTCTGCATCTTTGCTGTGTCCTTTCATCCCATTCTCCATCTGAATAATATCTATTTCGACTGTAAGTTCTTCAGGGCAGGGAGCTTTTCTTCCTCTTTGCAAAGTATCTAGCATGCCTTTGGCACTACATAAATAACAGCGATTGTACTAGATGCTTCCATAATTTAGCCCTTTCACATTATACACTTCTGAAATGGTGTCATTATTCTTAGACCCTAGACACTGAGCAAAGATCAATCAGAATTAGTGCGATAAGCTGTTAGTCACTATCTAATCAAAGGAAACTCAGCTGAAAGACTCCAAAAAGGAAAGGGAGAGCATAATTTCACCACTGATCTATACAAATGGTTGCACAAGAGACTACATACAGTGCATCCCAAAAACAAGATGGTTAAAATAACGGTTGCAAGGAAGCACCCCGAGACCCCCCACCCCACCCAAATATAGATGCTAGAAAGCTCATCTCCCATTCCAAGTGAATCCAGTGCTGATTACATTGCAAAGTTTAGTCAAGAAAAGATTTAACGGTTTGCCAGTAACACGGGGCATTCTGGGCAATGAATGCAAAGTTCCCAAGGAGGCACAAGCACTGAGCTTCTCCCTTCACTGACCTGCAAAATGCTGTCTACAGCATCAGGCCTAAATTCTGCATCATCTGAGCAAAATTTAGTCTTCACTTGGCAATGATTTTCTTTCTTTTCTTTCTTTTCTTTTTTTTTTTTTTTTTAATAAATCACCCCCAAATAGCAATTTGACAACAAACTATTCCTCGCCAGTCTCTGCTCCTGCACCGATTTACTGATTACAGAGGAATAATGGCCTCTTTTCTTTTTCCTCCTCCTTTTGGAACGAAGGACCCTGCCAAATAGTTTTGCCCCTGGGCTGAGTCGTGGTCAGTTCCACCCCCTACATGAGAGAGTTAATGAAATACACAGCAGAATGTTCCTCCCCCTCAGGTCTTCAGCTGACTCCAGTACAGCTAATCCCATTACAAGAAAATAACGTGGATAATTCAAGCTAATGAAATCGTTACAAGAATGTGGACAGCCAGAGGTGGACATTCAGAACCAATTTAACACTCTTTGGTGTCGTTATCCCCAGCACAGGAAATATCTGAAAGGAGGAAAAAGAAAAAAGCCCTCCTCTCTTGTTAGCTTAAATCCTGTTCGAGAGTTCAGGAATTAATCTGCCACATATCTTCCCTATTACTATTATCATCATCATCATCGTCTCCTTGGTAACCTCAGAAAATTAATGAATGAATGCAGGGGAAGGAGGGCAGGAATGGAGTAAAGCCTGCTGACATGCTGAAACAAGTCTGCCGCTCTTATGGCCAGTAGCCCTGGCTGAGCAATAAGGCAGGAGAAGGTTGTTGGAGGGACTTTCCAGCAGAACAGGCATGGGTCTGCACAGCTAAAGTAATCTTAAGAAGGGGCTACTCCCACAATAACCTCCCCAGGGGCGAATTTGAACACAAGGTTAATGTAATAGCTTCTCACCAGCTGACTTTGCCTACACTAGGCAATCCTGTTGGACAGGACACTGAATACTGACCACCACCTTTCACCCCCCAAACCAGTGTTACAAGCAGGTGTCCTCTTAGCATGGATGAGGAAGAGAACCCAGATGAGTGTGCTTCCCATGCATTATTAGATAGCACTTTTGTCTTCAAACTTGTTTGGCTTTTTGCTCACCCTACACCACAAGGCTTGTTTGGAGGCTTCTCCAACTAGTGCTGTGGAAAGGATTGTGTCAGGAGGCCAGAAACTGGGGGCATGCCTTGTGGAAGAGGGAAACGCTGGAGACAAAGCAAACAGATACTCCCCCCCTCCTTTATACAGAAGCGTCTTTACTAACGAAGGAAGAGGTAAGAGAAGTCTAGAACGACTGCACATGCCGTCTCAAACTGTGATCTTGCATGCTAAGCAGGCTGGACAGGGCCAGTATGGGATGGGAGACTTGCAAGTCGGGGGTTCTGCAAGAAATGGTGATGCTGATTCTGCATGGGGCACTCTTTCTTCTGAGTCAGCACTAAGCGAATGCCCTACAACAGTTTTGGGTGGCACTCTATCCTGGGGGTTCCATATTGTGTGTGTCATGGAAAATAGATGGCCCCACCTACTTATGGTCATTTATAGCCCATGGCACTTTTAACAGGAGTAGAATTGTTAGCCTTGGTGTCCAGGCCAAATTCCATCTTGCATAATAATTCTCTGCCTATTTAATCCCTTTGTAGTTTCAAATAGAAATGATACTTAACTTTTCTCCATTTCCAGACCTGCACTGTTGGATAGTGTTGGTATGCCCTACTGGACAACTGCCGTGTTCCAGCCCAGAAGGTGGAACTTCAGCAGTGAGTTAAATGATCCTGACTTATGCTGTATGTGCTTTGCAATCCCATTCAATGTATATAGTTCATTTCCCTGAAGATTCTAAGACTAGATTCAGTGAGACAGAGAAGTAGAGTTAGAAAACAAAAGTATTTTAGCTCGCAAGGCGACACCAAGCTTTCCAGGGAAGCAGACTACTCCACGAAATAATGGTAGCAGCTTGGAATGCCGTTTGGCTGGACCCTGTTTAAACATCCCATGGAAATGAAGAGTAGTTATCTTTAAAAGCCAGAGTTAATCTTTAGGGGTAGAGCTCAAGCAGATGCCAGTTTAGAGCTGTGCTAGCCCTTAATCAGCTGCAAAGTTTGATCTGTTAAATAATCCAATAGTTATAACATGAGAATGGACTTGTGGGTTCTATTCTAGACTGAGCCGCAGATTTGCTGTATGACCTTGGGAAAGTCACAACAGCCCTGTTGTTGGTGTTTGCCACCTGCAAAATAGGGATAATATTTACCAACCTCATGGAGCGGTGTGAGGCTTAATTCCTTAATTAATTAGTGCTAGCAGAGTGCATTGAGATAAAAAAAAAAGGTGCAATGCAAATGCAAACATTTTCAAGGGGTAAAGAAAAATAATGACACACTCCAAATGGCCTGATGAGTTTTAAGACACAAGAGAGTGATTTTGGTTTGCAAACAAGGCAAACAGCCTCAAGCCCTGTGTGATTGAGAGAGAGAAAGGCTTCAAAATCAGCTGGTCAATTGGGGTTTTGCAGCCAAAGGGCACCTAACAGTTATTCTGTGGCACACACGTGGTCCAAACTAACACAGAAGGGAGTCAGCAGGAGGACTTTCCTTTCTATGCTAAAAGGAGAAGTGCCAGAGAGGGAGAGGGATAGGGGGTGGGTGGCGGGGCCCATGGGAAGTGCCCAGAATGAATGCCATGGTTAGATTTCTCAGGGTGCTCTCTTGCAAACGTGTCTAATTACAGCCAGACGGCGCTTTCGGCGCACCTGCCACAGCAACTGTTTATCTCGCCGACGAGTTAAAGAGCATCATTTGCAAAGTTCGCTAGGAAGGAAAGCCAATTATCATGTCGCCGGCTAGGCACAAAGCACGCTCGCGCTTTATCTCCCCGCTCGCGCTCCACAGCGCGGCAGAGGAGCCTTTCATGCTAATTTCTGCTGACTTCCCCCACCCCCCTGCTTCGCTCCTCCGTTTGGAAAACGATTCTACAGCTTCTCCGAGAACTGGCCCACCAGCGAACCTGTGAGACAGCAGAAGAGGGAGCAGGAGGTGGAAACAAACAAGCGTTGCTGCCAAAAACCAGACCTGTTCTCACGAGGTCGCTCTTCCACCCCGGACCCACTCCCTTTTCATCGCAAAAATTTTCAAACTTCCCCTGATGCAATGAGATGTCAAAAGGCAGCTGGATTAGGCCACCCCTGAATAAGGAGACTATGCGATATCATAATTAGAGTGGTCATTAGTGACACACGCAGCAGAAGGACTTGCAAATGAAGTGTGGCTTTCTCTCTCTCTTTTGAGCTTACTATGAATATAGGGAGAGGTGGGGATTTGTCAATGGGACCAGCTTGAAGTGGTAAAATAAAATGACATGCTGTGAACAGGTACAAAAAGAAAAAAAAGCTGCTGGTGAAGCGAGTAGGATGCAGGGAGTGAAGCTCCTGAGTGGGTGCTCTTTGCAGCTCTTCCAAAATCCTCTCTTCAGCCACTGCATAGGGTGGCACATTTCTTTCTGTTTAGCCTTGCTAGTCACATCTATCCCTGCGCACCCCTCTCACTGCCACTTTGCTGAGCTCATACCAGCCAGCAACTATTGTCTTGTCTTATTCTCACTTCTTTCCTTTTAAGGTACTGTCCCAAACCTACCTTTTCCCCCTCCTCACTCCCCCACCATCGTGCTCACATCCTTTCAGGCACTGGGGGGAGGGACAGCTCAGTGGTTTGAATATTGGCCTGCTTAAACCCAGGGTTGTGAGTTCAAACCTTGAGGGGGCCATTTGGGATCTGGGGCAAAAACTGGGGATTCATCCTGCTTTGAGCAGGGGGTTGGACTAGATGACCTCCTGAGGTCCCTTCCAACCGTGGTATTCTATGATTCTCTCCCTGTGATTCAGGATTCTAGCTCCATGGCTAAGAACCTTGGCTTTGTTCTTCTAGCACTAACTCTTTGCGTGTCTTGCCCTCTTGTCTTTTGACTGTCATGTCAAATCCCTTCTTTTCTTAATGCTCCTGCTAATGGGTTGATGTCTCTCCCCTTCCTCTGCTTGTCAGCCAATACTCTCCTCTCACATGGGACCACCAGTTGACTTATTTGTTTTCATTGTTGATTGAAGTTTTATTTCTGTGTCCTGCTACACCTTCCCACGCACTTGGGATTAAAGGCATCTGTATAGATCACGTGATGTCATGGCTGCCGGAGGGATGGAGCAAGCCCAGAGCTCAGCTTCAGGGTACAGGCAGAGCTAGGAAGCATGGCATACAACAGAAGAAATGCATACTGCATCTACAGCTAACAGAGGCGAAGTAGCTGCTTAGAGGATTAAGCACCAGCTTTTGTAGACCTGGATCCCCCCAAACCACAAGCAAAATCCCAGCAGGATAACTCGGTGTTTCCCAAGGGAGATAAGCCCGAGGTGGCTTTCAGTATTTGTTTAACACATTCATTATCATTAAGGCCCCACTTGAATCACAGGATGATTGTCAAATAATTGCATCTGAGTTGTGGACAAGCCACCGAAAATCGTTGAAAGTAATAATGGACAGATATTATTTGCAGTAATTTGGAAAAGCTGACAACTGCAGGAGCCCCGCCATGTGTGGAGTTGACAATGGGAGCTCCTGCTGTCAGCCACCTGGGGCAGAGAGTGGGAGCCCGGGGCTGAGAGTGGGGTCACCTGCTGTCGGCTGCCCGGGGCTGACAGCGGAATCCCAGGGCTGAGAGTAGGAGCCCCGCTGTGTGCAGGGCTGAGAAAAGGGGCTCCCGTTGTCAGCCGCCCAGGGCAGCAAGGGCTTCTGCTGTCAGCCCCCTCACACGCCTAGGTTCCCACTGTCAAAATTGTGAGGTGAGGTGGCTACAATGTAATTTGATAACTCACAAAGTGTCCCCTCTGCTTTTCAATAACATGTGATGCATACGGGATAGAAAGCTGTGGGTGGTTCTGCCTAATATATGACTCCACTGAAGTCAGTTTGACCCAATTCCTAAGTCTCTTCTCCCTTCACAGGATCCTACATGTTCAGGGCCCATCCGTATCTGAGAGACTTTTTTGGGGAGGAAAACTAACATACATTTCCAGTATATTAATCCATATATATCACCTCTCCTCCTCCTCCTCTGTTCTCCCATAGAGATTTAAATCCATCTGGGCACGGGCTCTGTTGTTGTTTTGCTCTGTGATCTAAACTTGGCATCTCTCCACCACCACCTCACTCTAGCATCACCTTCCAAATCATTAGCATAGAGAAACCCTGCTGTCCCAATACCCACCCACAGGTCTTATCCATGTGAACTGCATTTTCTGTGGTGCTCAAGGGCCACCATATGTGCTTCTTCTGAGTACTTATTGATCTGCTCTCAACACCTATATGAAATAGGTAACAATTACCCTCTTTTATAGAGGGGGAAACAGAGGCAGACATTTACCAAAGGCCACACTGGGATTTTGAAGCAAAGCCAGGATCAGAATCAGGACCCTGGTCTCCTTAGTACTAGTCCAGAACCCTCCCCACAAACCCATCCTTCCTCTCTCAAGAGCCCTCTAAGAAGCTAATCACTAGCATCGTTTCCCCTTGCTTAGACTGTTTTTAGAAATGTAACAAGCTTTTGCCCCTTACTCAGTTTATTTTCCTTAATGGTTGCTTATGAGGGATCTTATCAAAAGCTTTCCGAAATTCCCAGTAAATTAGTAATTAGGCAGGTTTTCAGAATGATAATTATGCCCTTCCATACCCCCGATGTATTATTTACCTGAGATGATGTACATAATTAGGGCTCTTCTTTGTAACTGGTATTACGGACACTAAATTCTCCTCCAGTCTATCGTGTAATTACACAGTTAGGCTGCATGCTAAACAGAATAAGCATAATTCCAAAAACTGGGCAAAAAAAATCCTCTTTCAGCCACACAGGGAAGGGGTTTAAAATGTCAATATCCCTCCATTTAACTCATTTTAAACAGGTGTTAGTATCAGGTTTGGCTTCTTAATTTTGTTTCATTTAATCCCACTTTGCGAGGTTTAATGTTAGTGCAAGATACTAAATTCCGTAAAGAGATTTACTTAAAGCTAGTTTTAAAGGGGCATTTCCTTTCTCAGGTCTGTACAGATTTGCAATGATTGTGGAAGAAGAATTGTATTGTCTTAAATTCTCTCTCTCTTCTCCCTCCCCGCACACTCTTTCTACCTTCCAAATAATGATTATTTTTCGACAGCTTCTCAGCTGCAGCTAGAGGAGAATGACAGACATAGACAGGTACAGTTGCCATGGTACAACTGTCACAGTACTTCAGCTCTACAGTGCTGGCTCCTACAGAATAATTTAACCAGCCATAGTGGCAGTAGGGAAGGTGGGAAATGATGGGTGGCTGAGGCCAAATAATCTAACTTTGCCTGCAGGAGAATCTAGTTCAAACCCCACCTTGGAAGATGCATGTTGGTGATCTCTGCTAGGTCCACAGAGGTAGTGACTAAGAGATCCCCAGTGGAATGTCTTTGGAATTAGAGAAGTACAGAAATGGATTAAATTGGAAGAGCTATAAAGCCTAGTTTGCCAGTATCACCACTTCTAAAAAAATATGCCACACAGCAAACTCCAAAGGTGTCTCTACACTGCAATTAAATACCTGTGGTTTTCCCGTGTCAGCTGACCTGAGCTGTAAAATTGCAGTATAGACACTCAGGCTGAAGTCCAAGCTCTGGGACCCTATGAGGGAGGAGGGTCCCAAAGCCCGAGCATCTACACTACAATTTTACAGCTCCGCAGCTGACAAGGACCAGTCACAGGTGTTTAACTACAGTGCAGACATACCCCAAGGTGCCAAGTTCTGCCCTCCGATACACAGATACAACTCCATCTTGGGTCACTAGGTGGTACCTACATGTGTGAACAGGAAGATCTATGATCTACTGCCCCAAACCATGCGAGACACTGTGTGTGGCTGAAGCCAAGTGAGAGCTCCACCCAGGCAGAGCATCCCACATGAGCTGGGGCTCTAGATTGTAATTCTACTTGTGCAGATCAACTTGCAGAAGCAGGGCCTCAGAGTTCAAAAGCACCAAGTCACCATGATAGTGGCACAAAGGCTCGACCACGCCTGAGATCTGAGTGCCCAACTCCCTTAGAAAACCCTCCCCTTGAAAATCCCACTCTAAATGTTTAAATTGCAGCCATGGTCAAAAATAATTTAAACTAAAAAAATAGCCGCCCCAGGAGAGCCCACTACAAATCTACTCTCCCATAGCCTTCTTCTGAATCAGTTTCAAAGGCAGACATTTAAATTCTCGGCTCCATGGAGGACATTAACTGAGAACACATTCTATTGTGCCTTGAGTGTCACCAAGAAAAGCCCCAACTATTTAGCCCGTGTGCTATATGAGTAAACAGAGTATCTGTTAGATACCAGGCTGAGATTATGGTGCTAGCAGCTGAAAGACATTCATTTCAGGTTCAGTTTTAGCAGACTGCATCTGATCTGATGGAGAATAAATACAGAGGCACCAGATATTATTTTTAGGCAGACACCTATCTGAACATAGCTACAATTTGCAAGAGAATTTCCATTCCTGTAAAGCTGCAAAATAACTTTAAAATAAATAATCTGGTTACTTTTGATCAGAACAGAGCAGCACACACAGATTAAGAAATGCAAATATATTAAAAATGAAGTTCAAACTAAGTGTCTCTGTTTTCATTATTTGAGTAAAATAACAATCATGAGATTCGAGTGTGGGGCATGGTCTCCAAAGAGAAGAAACTTCCACACCCACCTCTCAGGTCTTTTTAAAATTGGGACTGGACATAGTAGAACATGGAGTTAACATACCCTTTCAGAGTCTGATGAAATGAAAAAAACGAAATAACCGTTCAGACACAGAGTATTTTTCGTATTTGAATCTTGAATTTGGGTGTCCGTTTCCATCAAACACCACAAATAAAGCCTCGTGTCCAAGCATCTATTGGCTGTAGGTTGTCTCTCTTTATAAGCACCTTATTAAACATAAAACTGCAGTATACAAGAAAATGTTTACCTCCTTATTTGCGTATCAGCCCGAGGGATAATGATAGCAGAAGCGTGTACAGCCTTGGAAATAGCGGCACTACGCACAACAGAGTAGCTCAGCCTTCTTTTGCCAAATGGACACTGCAAATCTAGTAGTTCTCTCTTACGCTCCTGTAGATTTGCTTTGCAATCTCTGTAGTGATTCTCAAACTTTTGTACTGGTGACCCCTTTCACACAGCAAGCCTCTGAGTGCAACCCCCCATTATAAATTACAAACACTTTTTTTTAATATTTAACATTATTATAAATGCTGGAGGTGAAGTGGGTTTGGGGTTGGAGGTTGACAGCTTACGACCCCCCCACGCATAGGTTCACAGTGGTTCGCTAGAACCGGCTGTCCAATTTAGAAGCCTTTTTAGAACCGGTTGTCCCACGAGGGACAACCGGTTCTAAAAGGGCTTCTAAATTAAACAACCAGCCAAAAGTGGCACATTAGGCACTGACTCCATGGGTGCTCCGGGGCTGGAGCACCCACAGGGAAAATTTGATGGGTGCAGAGCACCCACCGGCAGCTCCCCGCCCCGCCCCCAGCTCACCTCCGCTCCGCCTCCTCCCCTGAATGCGCCGCCCCGCTCTGCTTCTCCACCCCCACCCCGGCTTCCCGCGAATCAGCTGTTCGCGTGGGAAGCCTGGGAGGGCTGAGAAGCAGGCGGCAGCTTTCGCACTCAGGCCCAGGGAGGCGGAGTGGAGGTGAGCTCGGGGAGGGGGAGGGGGCACCCACGCCACAGCAGGTAACCCACCAAATAAGGCGCAGCTTTTGATGTGATCAGTGGGGGGAGCAGCAGCTCCTCCTGCTTCCCCCACAGCTACGCTCCCCCGCCCCTAGGGGGCGGAGGGACCTGCCAGATGCTTCCTGGGAGCTGCCTCAGGTAAGCACCGCCGGGACTCCCCAACTCGTCCCCCAGCAGGTCCCTCTGGCTCTTAGGGGTGGGGTGGGCACCCACTACGGTGGCCCACGAGACCCTCCTGCCCAGTTCTGGGGGCAGTCAGGGGACAGGGGTCGGGGGGGGGGGAGGGCGTCAAGGAATGCGGGGTTGGATGGGGCAGGAGTCCTCAAGGGTGGGCCACGACCCCTTCGTGGGGTGAGGAGAGAACCAGTTAAGATTTTGGCAGCTCATCACTGCCCCCATGTAATAACCTTGTGACGCCCTGAGGGGTCATGACCCTCAGTTTGAGAACCCGCAATCTATGGTATGTATTCAGAATTTAAACATGCCATACCAACTTAAATCAGTTTTAAAGTAGAGTGAATAAATACTTTTGCCCATATGTTACATGACAGAACCTAGTTTTAAGAGTCTGTGTTTGCATTTGTAACAATCAGTTGATGTTGTGTTACTATAATAGAGCTAGTTAATTCTTTTAAGTGGGCTCTCGTCTATATTATGCACATGTACATATCTCACCCTGGTACAAGCCTATACAGACAAGTCGACAGGAAAAATCCTGCAGAAATATTTATTACCAGGCGAGGAAACATGGATGGTCTTGTGGTTTTGGCACTAGACGGGGACTCAGAAGATGTTGTTTCAGTTTCCACCCTTGCCACGGACTTCCTGTGTGACTTTGGGCAAACCACGTCTGTACCTCCGTTTCCCACCTGTAGACTAGGAACAGCATTTGCTTTCTCCACACTTTGTGCACTCTTCAGAGGGGGGACTGTGTCACTGTATGTACGTACAGTGGCAAGCACCATGGAGTCCTGATTTTTACGTGGAACAATACAGTAATTCAAAGGAATAACAAACAATGGTTACTAGCATGAGCGGTTCCATTCATGAGCCTTATCCTCATTTACGCTACACTGCTGTGCAGGCGTAAAAGGGTCTTACATGTAATTTATGCGAATGTTAAGGGCCCTTTATACTACCAGAGCAGAGTAAATGGGCCGTTATGTACAGGAGAATAAGGCCCAGTGTTTGAAGGAGAGTATCCTACATTTTAAACTCAGATTAGTCTAATAAACTGTTGCAAATTGACATCGCCATTTAATGTTTAGAGTAATCACATGATAAAAGCATAGCTTAATTGCACCACCAAAATTGTGTTCTTTGCACTTGTGTGTTTACTAGAATTCCTGCGTGCTTTGAATTTGGTGCATAGGAAGTCCGTCCACTTTGATCATGTAACACTAGATTCTTTTAGTGTAGTGTAGTGTAAATTCTTTTAGATTTTTCATGCTGTCTGGAGGGGAAGAGGAAAAATGGTTTATTCCTTGATCAGGTATTAATTTAGTACAATTCCACAGTAGTTCAGTATAGATTTCAAGAATGTACAAATGGGATTTACTCAAGCAAAGCTGTACCTATCCACAGCTCTCTTAAATATGGTCCCATTGTATTGGCATGCAATATATTGTAAGCAGAGCGAACCCGTGTAATAGCAGCTGTGAACCCTGGCCACGTAACCTCACTAATTTAATAAATAGACATTGACGAGACTAAGTGGCTGTTTAGATGGCTTTACCACCCTCTTCCATTTCTCCCCCTCCCAACTAAAAGCCTCTTAAATAAAACAAATTAAACCACACACACAAAAAAACCCACCACATTGCCTGAGCATTTTATGGCTCCATTCTTCAGCAGGAGCCAGAAAAATGCAAATGAATCCAGAGACCACAGAACAGCTCACTGAAGACTCAGAACGTTGTACGGGGACGTGTGTGTTTTGGTTCCCTTTCTCCCCCCCCCCCCCCCCGCTAAAACATCTGTAATAATATTCAGCACAATGCCATAGGTGTCTGCAACCAATCAGAGGCGATGGCAGACGCTTGCACCTTGCTGACAGGTGCTGTCAAAATAGCCTTGCAGTCACAGGCTGGATGATAATGTGAAAATGAGATACAAATGAGGGGCTATCAGAGAGGGGTGGGATCAATGTTCTACTCAGTCCAGTAGCACTGCACACTCAGACAAATTCAAGAGAGAGATGTAACACACTCAAGTCCTATAAGAAGGGAGGAAAGAAAAGGATACCCCAAAATAAACTGCAATGTTTTAAAGAGACATGCCTATAAAGGGAGAGTGGAATTCACCTTTTCTAAGCGGCAAACACTTTATTAAACACCACCTTGTGTTTATAAGCTGCATTTTCAGACCCAAAAGCACTTAAAGCTAGTGTACGCTACAGAGATCTTTTCCCTTGCTGAAATGCAGCCACTTCTGGGGTGGGACAAAACAGCTGTTTTGTGCCAGGAATGTATCTATATTATTTTGAGAGTTAGGAAGGAGAATAACTTCTCCCAACTGAAATTGCAGGGAAAATGTAGGGATATAGGATGCAATTATCCAAAGCTATAAGTGGGCTAAGTCAACATGGGGCTCCCATTCCTACAGCTGTGAAAGGGTGAAGAAGTCTTCAGGCTTACAGTTCCAAATATAGGCACCTACACTGATTCTCACAAAATATGCATACACCTAGATAAGTACCTGTCTGTGCACCCAGTTGCCAGGGTTGCAGGCAAAAAAGAGTTACATTTTAGATTTTAAAGATCACAAGCAGTCGTGGTCTGGGTTTTATGTTTCACCTGAAACACAGACTTTGAATAACGTGTCAGAAATAGGTTGACTCAGAGCAGAATAGATTCATAGATTACAGGGACAGAAGGGACCATTGTGATCATCTAGTCTGACCTCCTGTTACTCCTGGGAGAATTCGCACGCACAGAATTTTTTCTTCTCTGCAGGAAATACATTCTGCTGGAGAGGTGCTACAGTTACACCTTTTACCCAGCAGGGGCTGCTGTGGCATCAGGACAAAGGGCAGCTGGTCCAGGGCAGGAGCAGCCCCAGATTCAGCTAGGGAAGAGAAGAAGCTGCATTCTTCACAGCGCCCTGCCTGTGGGGCCAAGTTAGGAGGCATGGCACATGTGAGGATGGCCATCGTGGGGCATATGGCTTTCGGGGGGGTCACAGACTGTGGTCCAGAAGGGCTAGTGAGGGGGTTGAATAGGAGTCGGGATGCAGGGACAAATGGGAGTGGGTGGCTGAGTGGGGATGCAGGGCCACATGGGGTCTGAGGGTGGCTGAGTAGGGGGTATGGAAAATACATTTCTGTATTGTAGTTGAAATGAACTATTACTCCAAGTTCTGTATTAATATGCCTAGTAAGGAATCTCTCTGTCAAAAAACATTTCCTGAATCTTTTTTATTGTCTGTATTGTTACAGACATACTTGCTGACAGGTATTTTGAAATAAAGTACCAAAATAATTGAACCTGTTGTGATTATACTGTGTTATTTTGACAAATAAAATACGCAGAATTTTAAAATATTGTGCACAGAATTTTTAATTTTTTGGCACAGAACTCCCACAGGAATATCCTGTGTAACAGCCCCAGGACTTCCCTGAACTAATTCCTCTTTGAACTGGAGCATCTCTTTCAGGAGAACATTCAGTCTTGATTTTAAAATTGCCAGTGATGATGAATCCATAATAAGATTAAGTTGTTCCAATGCTTAATTAACCACCTCTGTTAAAAATCTGCATCTTACTTCCACTCCGAGTACATGAAGTTTCCCCAAGAAGACTGGTTTTAGGTTTGAACAAGTGTGGTTGCCCCATTAAAATAAATTAAGAGTATTGCGCTAACAAAGCGATCCTTAAGCAAACAATCTGCAGCCTTCTGAACTTCAGCTGGAGAAGACCTAGATCAGGGATGACTTCAGGAAGCAGTGTATGGTCTGGTTAATTCAGTTCTAAATCTATGTGCTGCAGATGACGAACTGGGTCACAACTAGGGGTCCCCACAGCTATTTGGATTATGGTAGTGCCCACAGTATACAACACACTGTACACAGATGAAGAGCTTGCAATCTAAAGAAAGTGGGCAAGTCTTCTTGGAGCAGCCTAAGTCATAGGAGAGAAGTGTTTGGGGGGGGGGGGGGGGAACCCTTAATCCTAGATGCTTGGAGCAACAAGGTAGTAGTGTTTGTCACTTATGTAGGGCTTTTTCCACAGACTTCAAAGCATTTTACAGAAGTGCATATTCTTATGTAACAAATGGGGAAACTGAGGCATGGGGCTGTGATGTGACTTGTTCAGTCAAGTGGAAAGTCAGTCAGAAGGCGAGGAAGAGAACTTGGGTCTCCCAACACCTAGTTTGGTGCTCTATCAACTGGACAATGCTACCTCCCTAATATACATAACATCTGCTCACGATGTCTAGGGAAAGAGGGACTGAAGACAGTAACTTGTCTTTTAAGAAGAGGCTTTCTAGAGGAACTGGCATGTGCACGGAGGAGCAACGAGTCAGAAAGGTTGACTCTCTTCAAGCAGAGTATCTTTTAAGGTTGGACAGTTCCTTTAATCTTCATCTGGAAACAGTCCTACAGAATTGTTCACACAATAAGAGAAGGAAGCTGGTAAGAGCTGGCAGCCTCACACAGTTCAAATGTAACCCTGCAAACCTTGCTGATGAGTTTTTATATAGTATTCCTGCAAATAGTCACTGCTTGAAAAGCTAACAATAAGCACAGTGTACCAACAAAGGTCTCTTCCTAGGGTTTATTTGGAGCAACTGTACCTACACTGGGCCCAACTTTCACTGTACCCATGAAAATGCAGATTCAGAGTCAGGGAGCTCAACAAGGGATTAAAAAGGAACAGAAGGCAAAAGGCTCCTGGTCTCCATTTTCAAAGAAACTGAGCACTTGCAGCTCCAACTCGAGTTTTGGGAGCTCCACACCTCTAAAAAAATATCTGGCCCGGTGAGTCTATATGCAGCTCCTCTAAGCTCTCAAAGCTGAGTGTTTTACATTACACATCTTTACTGCGCAGAACCTCAGACACAAGCTGCATCCCAATGAACTTTACAGTGGGGTTTTTTAAACACAGGATAAAAACAAAAGGGAGAGGAACATTAAGCAGCATTGGCGAGAGAGGAGAAGGTTTGCAGATGAGGCCAAGGGGATAGCTGAGTGGTCTAAGCTCCAGCTCTGAAGTCCCTAGAGCCACAACCCTTTCTTCTTCTGAGATGGGTAAATTAAAGTTTCCCAGGAAAGGCTCTTTTCAGACAGTAAAAGGCCAAGGCCATGATCTTTGCTTTGATGGACATGGAGATGCCACGAACTTGAGAATTTTGGACTTAAATTTTCAGCTCCTCCACTGTTGTACAACACGCTGCAAGCTTGGCTGATGCCCTCTGCTCCAGACGTGGCTGTACCCCCTCACTGCTGTTAAATATACAGTTAGGAAAATGCTGTGGGATCCCTTCAGGATGAAAAGGTATTACATAAAATACAAGACAGTGTATTAGGAGAGGGGATGAAGACTCAAAGGCAGAGATCCAGCTCCAGATGACTGGAAGTTGAAAGCTCTTGCACCAACAGAGCCGGAGTAGGTGAAGGGACTGAAAGGAGGTAAGCAGGGGACGGGCCCATGGAAGATTTTTAAAATGGGAGAGTAATTTATAGACACAGCCTGACTGTATGTCTGCCCCCTGCCATTGCAAGAATCCTCCCAGTCACAGATGGCAATTGCATGTAAAGAAGGCTTTTACCAAAGTCCAACATGTAACAACTTCCTCATTCCTTACAGGTAGTACAGTTTCCTCCCACCCTTCTCCTGTGCCGCGGTTTGCAGAGTAGACCTGCCTGCTGCAGCAGACCTAATTTCATGAGGTTTTTGTGCAAGCAGCGGGGTGGAAAATGATCATCAGGGGCCATCATGTGGAGACGTGCCCCTCCCGTTTCCTAGATCCAGCCTCCCTCCCCCAGAACCCAGGCAGCCTGAACATGCTGGGCCAGTGCTGTAGCAGAGAGAGGCTACCAATGATCATTCCAAATACCAGCCGTTCTGAAGCGAGAGCGCTCTCTGTTCCCATCCCATCACAGCTCCCGCCTTCCCAGACACTGATGAGCAAGACAGCGCAGTCCTGCGTGACAGCGTGAAATTAATACGATTTTGGGGAAAGTTGGCAATGAATAATGAGCATCTGAAATACCTTAATTCCACCCCTTGCTTCCACTTTAACCCCTTTGCTGCTGGCTTGCCACTCTGGCATGTATGTGGGCTTAAGGTGCAAACAGTGGCAATTCTGTAGGGAAGCAGCTCTGAAGATGCAGTTGGCTCCATGTAAGCAATTGTATTGCAGAGTACGTTTTTTTCAAAGGCCAGATTACACTAGAAGCAGTTGGGCCTGGTATGAGGAGGTGCTCTGATCGCACCCTGGGCTTTGGAGTACAGGAGTCCCTGGACTGACCTCTTCTTCCAGCCTAAGTGGTGGAGCTCAGATGAATCACACAAAGGAATGAATCCCCATGCAAGGGAACTAGAAACCATGAGGCATTTGCCCCTTCCTCTAACCCCCGGGTCAAGTCAGAAAATGCCCCTGCTAGACTGTCCAGAATAAAGGGTTAGATCATTGCCTCATATCATAAAGGGTAGCAGAAAAGACCTCACAGCCAGGACACAGGGATGAAGCAATTGTGCAAAAGCCAAGAAGGGCCCCAACCCAAGGGGAGTGGAGAGGATATTCTAAAAGACACTCCACTCTTATCTAGAGCTTTTCATCACTAGATCTCAAAGCACTTTACAAAGGAGGTCAGTATCTTTATCCCCATTTTACAGAGGTGAAAACTGAGGCAAAAAGAGGGGAAAGTGACTTGCTCAAAGTCACCCAGCGGCACGGCCAGGAATAGGTCTCTCAAGACCCAGTGCAGTTCTCTATCCACTAGACCCTGTCTCACTCCTTCCTCTAAGCAGTATACTTGTACTGTTCCACTGGCAGGCACTGGCTGTTACATACCCTTATCCACTGTGACAGGGTCGGGCCAGATGGCTTCAGGAGAGTAATAGAAGGCAGATATATTAGCCCCAGGTTAAGTAGGTCTCTTTTCCCTGGGTAAGGTAACAGGGAAGGTTCTAGAACAATCAGGAACCTTCTGGAGACAATTAAGACAGACAGGCTGATTAGAACACCTGCAGCCAATCAAGAAGCTGCTAGAATCAATTAAGGCAGGCTAATCAGGGCACATGGGTTTAAAAAGGAGCTCACTTCAATTTGTGGTGTGCGTGTGATGAGCTGGGAGCAAGAGGTGCTAGGAGCTGAGAGGGAGAACGTGGGCTGTTGGAGGACTGAGGAGTACAAGCATTATCAGACACCAGGAGGAAGGTCCTATGGTGAGGATAAAGAAGGTGTGGGGAGGAGGCCATGGGGAAGTAGCCCAGGGAGTTGTAGCTGTCACACAGCTGTTCCAGGAGGCACTCTAGACAGCTGCATTCCACAGGGCCCTGGGCTGGAACCCGGAGTAGAGGGTGGGCCCGGGTTCCCCCAAACCTCCCAACTCCTGGTCAGACACAGGAGAAGTTGACCTAAACTGTGGGTTCATGAAAACGGCCAAACTGAGGGCTACCGTGAAGCTCCAAGGCGAGCAAATCCGCCAACAAGCGCAAGATCCACCAAGGTAGAGGAGGAACTTTGTCACAACTGGTGTGAGCAGTGGGATCTGGTGTGCGCAGCGGAAGAAGGAGGGTGTTGGGGGGGGTGGGGGAAGGAGAGGGTTTATTTTTTTTTCTCACCACAATGGAGGAGGTAGTGCGGGCACTGATACAAGCCACGGCTGCCCAGCAGGAGGCTACTCGTGTCCAGGCAGCTGCCCAATAGGAGGCAATGAGGCTACAGCAAGAGACTAATCGCCTGCTGACGGACCAGGCTGCTCAAGACCGGGCTATGTTGCGGGAACTGGTAAACCACGTAAAGGCCCTTACAGAGCTGAACCGTGGTCATGATGGGACGCAGATCATGCGGGCCAGCAACTGGCTGCAGAAAATGACGGGGGAAGATGATGTAGAGGCATACCTCCTGGCCTTTGAGAGGACAGCCCTGCGGGAGGCTTGGCCCCAAGAACAGTGGTCTGGCATCCTCGCTCCATTCCTGTGTGGGTAGGCCCAGAAGGCCTACTATGATTTGCCTGAAGAAGCTGCGGTAGACTACCCACAGCTGAAAGCAGAGATCCAGGCCAGATCTGGGGTAACAACCACAGTGCGGGTCCAGTGATATCATGAGTGGAGGTAGCAGGAAAACAAAACCCCACGGTCCCAATTATATGACCTCATCCATCTTGCATGAAAGTGGTTACGAAC